AGCGGTTCGAAACTACCAGCTGCTCCGCGGGAGAAAGATGAGGCTTTCTACTCCCGTAAGGATTTACACCCTCTGAAACCCTGTACAGGGTCGCTATGGGTCGGAACCGACTCGACGGCACTTAACAACAACAACAACAAGGTATGTATAAGTCCTAATTCCCGGCATCTGTTTATGTGACCTTACTTGGAAAGAATCTTTGCAACTATAACTCATTAACATTAGGTCACACTGGTACATGTTACATTAAGTGCGGTACATTAAGTACTGCTGAATTGGGTCTGACTGACAGTGGCCCTGAACTGCAGATCTTGAAGTTCATCCCATGTAACTAGTGTTATCAGGAGAAGTGATGCAGAGGGAAGACACTGAGGGAAGCTGGCGCAGAGACTGGAGTTACAATGTTACAAGCCAAGTAGCGTCTGTGGCTTCCAGAAGCTGGAGGGAGACAAGGAATGCTCTTTCCCTTGAGAGGTCTTGGCCCTGCTGATACCACGAATTCAGACTTTCAGCCTGGAGCACTGAGTGAAAATAAATTTCTGTTGTTTTAAGCCACTTGATTGGTGGCACTTTGTTCTGGTCACTTCGGAAACTAATATACTTGGTAATGACCTATTTATAAGTAATTTACCAGCAATGTCTTCCTGTTTTATGTAACCCTTAAGCTTGGCCCCTTCAAATAATTAGACTGGAGTTTTAAATTAATAAAATATTGTGAGCATTTTATTATAACATTTTCCAACTTGTTCAGCTTTTATAAGGAAGGTCTTAAGGAGCACAATTATACTGTAGAAAAATCAATGTGACATAGAAAGAATTACCAAAGTAAAATAGGACATAAGAATATAAAAGTCTCTCTGATTTTCTTCATGAAAAAGAAGCACAGTGTTGGATTGGTTTGGTAAGCAAGTCTTGTGGTGAGAAGTGTCTAGAGAGTCGAAAGGGAGAAGGCAGCTCTCCACATGCTGAGACGCAAGAGGTCATGCCCCTTGTCTGAGAGAAACAGCCGTTATCTCTGACATAGCCACGTTCTCTGCTCTCTTGAGTGCCAAGTTTTCAGTCAGTCAACTCAAGGGAAGTGGCCAGTAGAAAAGGAGCAAAGTCAGCCAGCACTGAACATGCAGAGAATGGAAGTGCTATTGACTGCAGAGAAAGCATGGCCCTCCCATGAACATACAAAGCCCAAAATGACAGTCTATGAAGTCCCATGAGTTCTTTCATCTTGTTTAAATGTCAGCAAGGGTTAAGTACAATGCACAATGCATAGGGAACACAAACCATATTTTATCAAAACAGTTTTTCTTTTACAATTTTTATTATGCATGAATCCCCTTTTAATATGAAGTACATTAGTCAATGAGAAACATTCTACAATATTCTATTTACACGTAACTTTCCCAGAGTGCGCCTATCACACAAAGCAAGTATGTGTGGGCTGTCTCACTCAGATAACGAGAATTTGCAATTGAGCCACCAAGACAGCACTCCTTACAATCTCTACCAATCTGCTAATTTACTTAACACGAAACGTTTATTTGGTCTTTTAAATGACAGGCACCTTTAGGAAACATATTACACCTATATTGTAGACTTCTACTAGGCTTTAGCTACAAGCATATAGCACCAAAATCCATTTTAGTAGTATCAATATTAGCCATTAATATTGGATCTTTAATATACAAAATTTCATCAGGATATACTGAAGAAATGAGAACTTCAGACAAATCCGAACATAAAATTTTATAAAATGGGTATTTAAAAGCTTAAAAAACCCTACAAAATGGTAATTAAATGAAAAGCTTAAAAAACCCCAGCAATTTTAAAATACAGAGAGTGGTCTTTTAGATAACCAGGAGAATTTGAATTGATTAAACTACAGATCTGAAGGTCTTAGAAAATCATTGGTTTAATAATCAAGACTATTTCAAAAGCATACTCTACTGTAAAAATTCAAAGCAAGAGAGAAATACTAAAAATTCCTGAAAGGTAAAGGGGTGCCAGATCTGTAAAGATCAAAGTAAACACCATTTTTCTATTACATAATTACAATTCTTGAAAGATTTTCTATATTTATTTGGATGGATGTTCATTTTTAAAGTTGCTTATGAAGAAATGTTTTTATTAATTATGTAATACTCAACTTCTTTGTATTTTGAAAAAAGATGTTTGTCATACACATGATACAAAGTTCCTGATAGAGTCCTACATACATACCTATATATTAAAAAAAAAAAAAAAAAAAAAAATATATATATATATATATATATGGAGGAAGACACACTTATTAACTGAATGAGCTATAGGACAATGCCAGCAAGGAAGCTTTTCGCAAAGTGTGAGTTCTTCCTGGGATCCTGATATAAGGGGACTGCAAAGTTTCATGGAAAGTATCAACTGCTCTGAAAGGGATCACATTAGAAGGTCCCAAACTAGGGGCAGAAAATGTGGAACAAAACTCAACATTCTAAAAAAGACTGGGCTTACTGGTCAGAAAGAGACTGGAGGAACCCCAGCCTATAACCCTGTACCCCACCCTTCAGATCTAGAACGGAACCCACCCTCCTCATGGCCTAATTTTCAGCTAAGCAGTAGATAGGTCTATATAGGGAGGACATGGAATGGTCAACCATTCAAGAACAAAAGGGCAACATTCACCTCAGGGCAAAGCTGAGAAGGGCTGGGAAGGAGGGTGAAGTGGAAACAGGAACCAAGGGAGGAAGTGGGAGAACTACTGTTCCGTGGAGGGGATTGCAATCATTGAGATGAAACAAAATGTATGATTTGTTGAATGTAAAACTGATGATCTTCTCTTTACAATAAAAGGTCAAAAAAAATTTTTTTAATTCATTAAAAAAAATTTGGTGGAAAAAAATCCATTATTATTCAATTTCATTTTTCCATGAACATTTTGAAGCCCCCTTCATGCCTGTTTCATGCTCAATTCCCAACCCTGCTGGAACTATGTAAATCTCTAAACTCATGTACAATCCAAAAGTTGTATGCAGGAAAAAAAAAAAAGAGAGAAAGGAACAAAGGAGAAGAGAGCTTTGGAAACTTGGGAACAACAACAAAAAGTCAGCGGTCTGTAACTGACAGGTAACAGCACAAAGCTGAACTTTGGCCCCTTTACAACACTGGACAGTGAGTGAAACACTCACACAGACCTGACGAGCGTGTACAAGAAATACCAGAGAGCACAAGAAGCTGCCTTGCTCACAAGATTGTCCAGTCCAAGCTGTAGTAACAGACACTTTGTAATTCAATTTCAGAATGTTTAAAATTAATCATCTCTCCTAACTACCAGATTCTCTTAAAAAAATCTCTCTGTAAATGAGGCAGCCATGCCTGAATTTCTGAAGCCTGGATGACCCCTTTCCTTTCCTCCCTGTCATCTGTCACTGTAAATGTCTCTGCCGCCTCCTGTGTCAAGGACTACCCTGAGATGGGGCTTGGATTCGAGTCCCAACGCCAATGACTGTGCTGTTTCTACAGCCTCACACGGTCTTCCCCCACATCTCACTGCACTGTTTCACTGCACCACTTTGAGCAACAGGAAAACTTTCTTTGTCTTGAGGAATTATAAACACGGATTTTTAAAAATACAAGAAAAAAAGAAACAGATATTATGAATCAGATTTATGAAGAGCAGCAGTGTTTTCCTTACTGGGTGGAAAATTTGTGGTAGTGGTTAAATACTGTTTATGCAAGTAGGCCAGCGTTGCATGTAGGGAATTCCTACTACACTGGGCAACAGTAATTTAGACACACACCAGTTTCTAATTTACTTACAGTAATCATCAGGTTAAATAACTGTTTTGCAAGCTTCTCAGAAAGCTCCATGTTTATTATTTTTGATTTGATGTGTCTAACAGCTTTCTTGTCTTAAAAAAAAAAAAAAACGAAACAAAACCCATCAACCTTCCCAATCCCCCTGGCCAGAGTTGTTGGCCTTTTTACAAGGAAGAAAACAGCTTCTCCACTCAGACACTTTTTACTATTGTTGTTGTTAAGTGCCGTCGAGTTGGTTCTGACCCATAGCGACCCTGTATAGGGTTTCCAAGGAGCATCTGGTGAGCCTGAACCACTGATCTTGCAGTTCAAAGTGACTGTGCAGTCCAGTGCAATAATGCCCACATTTTCCAGACTGAAAAATGGTAATGAACGTAGACACAAGTATACTTCAAACAAAGTATGTAACCTGGCAGAACTGATGACTGTTTTTAAAAAAATGAGGGTACAACAATAAAAAACATCTCAGTGTTGCTGAGATAATGTCAGATAAGCACAGTGGACTGGATAGCACTGAAGACAGTTTCCTCTCTCGGGAGACCTGCTGTTGCTCTTACACAGATGACCGTATTTTAAGTCATCTGTATTGAAATCCTAGCATTTTGTTCTAGATACAAGGAAAAGAACACACGCTTGCCAAGCTCACGTCTTTTTCAAAAATGGGAAAGTCTTCAGGTCATAGACAAAGGAAAGCTTTTGGCCACTTTATACCTAAATGGAGGAACGGTGGTCTTGAGATCAGATCAGGCCCTTCCTTTCTGATTTCAAAGACTGATCTTCAGGATATCCTAATTCTTCTACATAAATGACTTATGAAACTTTTTTTTTTTAGATAATTGCACATTTTTACCCAAGACACATCATAAGCTATTTAATTTTGCTAAATTAAAATTGATTTTAGCAGAAAGTTGAAGTAATTCTTTAAAATACAAAAGATTACCTCCTATTGATTTTACTATTTGAAACTGGTAACAACTTGAAATAGAATAAAAGATACACATCATTAAAAAAAAAAAAAAAGAAAGAAAAGATTTCCAGTCTTTTCCCTTCTGTCTAGGAAAATTTTACATCTGATACCACCAACATGAGCCCTCGGAGATATCTGAAGTCTTCCAAAGATTAAATCATGGACGATTTACTGGTGGTCTCCTTCAACTCGTCTCTTGCGAACTATAAGGAAATACAAAGAAGAATATTAGAAGTCCCTGTTAGTTTTATAACTGTTAACTTGCTAGTTAGTAACAACCAAATTTCTGAATAATCCAGTTAGAGTTGTACAAAAAGAAAATGTAGATTTCCAGGCCACAAGAACATTAAAGAAAAACAAACTGCACAAAGCATTCCATATCATTCATCAACGTGATTTACCTGTTGAGAGCTGAGGGGCTTCAAAATGAGAACTAAATGTCATAAGATCAAGACTGATACTCCTGCTTATAAAAGAGCAACATTTAGAAGTCTAAAAGAACAGAAGGGTCAGTCATCTTTTAGTCATTGTGCCTGTCTAATTTTCTTATTCAAACAAGATTTATACATTGCTATGCTAAATTCAATAAAAAGACCTTCAGGCATCTGGGATTAGAAAGGTTTAAAAATAACCATCTGCATGCTCTTCAGATTAGACACTACAATGCATTTCCTTAATCTATGAAAGAATAAGCCAAAACATTTTCATTGTTTTTAAAGGTTAAGTGATCTGCTTTCCAAAGTTTCCTTTTCTTGTTACCTACAAAAGCAACTGATTCAGGGCTCTGGCAAAGCAACAAATGTAAAGTAATTAACATCTTCTTGTTATTAAGTGCTGTTGAGCCGGTTCCGACCCACAGTGACCCTGCATAGGTTTCTGAGGAGTCATTGGTGAGCTTTAACTGCAGACCTTGCTCTGTAACAGAACACCGGTGGTATCTGCACCGCTGAGTGCAGCAGAGAACCGAGTAAGATCAATGAAGAACACATGTCACCATCATCTAACAGCGGTGGTTATGAGATGGTGCTGAGGCCCTGCTCAGCCATCTTTTGGAGGAGGCTAGGATAAAGCCCATTTAGTTTTTTCAGTTAGAAGACTTGCATTTGAGTTTATTTTTATGTTTCCCAGTAATTTCCTCTGTTTAAGATATGCTGTTTGTAGACGGCAGTAATTTGCTACCGTCTTCTGTCTATGGAAAGCAATTGCTCCTTTGTCCAGCACAATTAGGCTATTTGGTAGTGAAGTCAAGAGCTTTGACCTGGTTCATTCTGGTTCAGCCCCTGTTGAGAATCTGCTTTTCCACCCCAGATATACTGAATCAGAACTTACATTTTAATGAGATCCTCAGGATCCCATCATAGGAGTCACCTGATTCAGTCTAGCTGGGGTGAACAGGCAAATTCTCAGCAGGGGTCAAGTCAGAATGAACTGGTTTGAAGTCCTGAGTAAATAAGAGGTCAACAGGTGCACCTCCTGGCCAGGTCCCAGCGCTGTTCTCACCTCTCCTGACTGCTGGTGTATGTTGGTTGGTCTTCCATAGGAGGCGGCAGCTGGGCATTTAGGTGACGCTAAGGAGTCCTGGTGTGGCACTGGGTTAACGCACCAGACTACAAAGCCATTTGAACTGCAAGGTCAGTGTTTAAAGTTCACCAAGCTGCTCCTTGGAAACCCTATACAGAGTCTCTATGGGTCGGAACTGACTCGATGGCAGTTAACAACAACAATAGCAGCAAAGATTTCCCAGCTGTGGGCTGGGTGCTAGCTAGGAAAACAATCAAAAACAACCACCAGTATCAGATTCTCCTGAACATTTTAATACTTATCTAATCAAGCTCACCCTGATGCTAATTTTAGTGCACTTTTTCAAAAAAGAACAAGTATGATATGTTTACTGAAAATATTATGGGAAATAAATCAAATGTAGACCTCAAATTAAAATATATAAAATACCTGAAAACTGTAGAAACATCTTAGAGGCAAACTTCAGATAATTCTTTGGGTTAGAAGATTTCAAAGAAAATTTTGGATTGCAGCAGAGTTTGGATGTTATTGGCAGACTATTTCACACATTAAATCTGTTATAAAAATACATGCTATACACACGATCTACAGGATAGTGTAACAAACAAAGGAGGTGTACAAAACTGTTTCTGTAGTCAGCTAGTGTAAAGGTAGTAAGTAAAGTGAGACTCAGAGTTCAATGAAACACAGCCTGTACACCATACAACCTCTCTGCTGCTGGGACTGTGTCACGTCTTAGCTGGGTGGCTGGACAGTACACAGAAGAAATTATTTCAACGAGTAGCTGAGACGAAGAACACAATGAGAGAAGGAAAGACATTATCAACATCACAGCACTAAAGATCAGATGTAATCCTATTTGCAAGATGAAGAAAAATTATATGGCCAAGAGATTCTGTACAAGTCTCATTCTGTACAAATGTCATTCTTTGATAGTGCTTTTGAGTTAACTATATTTCAAGCTGCTGAAATGTGTGGAGAAGATGGAAGATGATGTGGTCTTTAGCTTGTCATCTTCATTAAAGGCAGAGATCAGAGAGTAGGGCTGAGAAAGAAATCAAGCTGGGAGTGGGAGGTGACCTCTGTGAGGACAACACAGCACAGGAAGATGGGGACAAAGAGCCATTTCTGGTTCCTCGTTCTCACATGCTAACTTCCTGCAATTCTTCTGTTCACCCTACTGATGGCTATTCCAAATCTCACTGCTGTTGAGTTGAGTCCGACCCACAACTTTCCTGGAGGGCAGGCAGAGTGAACTGTCCCACAGGGCTTCGAGGCTGTAAGCCTTTACACAGCAGTCACATCTTTCTCCTGAGAAGCGCTGACCTTTAGATTAGCAACTGTACCACCGAAGCTGCTACACTACGGATTCTAAAACCCAACCTCACTGTGACTGAGTCAATTTCCACTCACAACAAGCTTATACAGGATTTCCAAGATTGTAAATCTTTACAGAAGCAGACAGTCTCATCTTTCTCCGGAGGAGCAGCTCATGGGTTTGAACCACTCACTGACCTTGCGGTTAGCAGTCCAATTGCTTATCCCATAGTGCTACTAGGATTCTTTACCTTATATAGATTGTTGTTATGGTTAAGTGACACTGAATCTGTTCTGACCCACAGTGACACTGTATAAGGTTTCTGAGGTGCAGCTGGTAGGTTTGAACCACAGACCTTTCAGTTAGAAGTTCAGTGCTTATCCCATAGCGCCACACCAGGACTCTATCCTCTAGAATTTTGTTGTTTTAAGTACTGTTGAGTCAGTTTCGACTCATAGTAACCCTGTATAAGGTTTCCAAGAAGCAGGTGGTTAGCTTAAACCACTGACCTTGTGTTTAGCAGACCAGTGCTTATCCTACAGCACCACACCAAGACTCCACCAAATAGATTAGAGGTTGGTGTTGTTAAGTGCTGTCGAGTTGATTCTGACCTATAGTGACCCTGTATAGGGTTTCCAAGGAGAAGCTGGTGAGCTTGAACCACCAACCTGGCAGTTCAAATGACTTTGCAGTGTGACGCATTAGCCTACAAAGTCACACCAGGACTCCAGATTAGAGGTTGTTGTTGTTAAGTGCCGTAGAGTCGGTTCCGACCCATAGTGACCCTGTATAGGGTTTCTGAGGATTAGAGGTAGAAGCTTATAAATTTTGTCCTTTTAACAATACTTGGAAGTGGTCTAATTTTTTTTTTCTAACATCTACTCTACTGATATAAATTCTCAAAACTTCACAATTAGTTCATTTCCAAATAAGTCCTACCTAACCTCATTTCCAAGGAGCTCTGGTAGCGTAGTGGTTATGAATCGGGCTGCGAACCTCACGGTCAGCAGTTCGAAACTACCAGCTGTTCCACGGGAGAAAGATGAGGCGTTCTGCTCCTGTAAAGATTTACAGCCTCGGAAACCCTGTACAGGGTCGCTATGAGTCGGAACCGACTTCATGGCACACAACAACCAACCTCATCTTCTCTAAAGGAGTAAGGAATGAATGTTTCTGCTACTGCTGCTATTTGCTGTGGAGTTGAGGGAACTGCTCCATAAGGTTTGCTTCTGAAATACTTCTGGATGTGTTTAAACTGCTAGACTTTCAACTAGTATTTGGGAGCTTAACTCTTTGTGCCACCTGGAAATCCTTTTAAAAGAGTAATAAGAATCGTTTTTTTTTTTTTTCAAAATATAATTTTAATCATTCAGTGACCTACTGTTTGTTGTTAAGTGAAGTTCAAACTAACCTTATGGTTCAGTGTTTATCCTACAGCGCCACACTATAATGGCTCTTAAAAGCCCCCGACCCCTTCTCCATACAATCCAAGGAAATCAAAGTTGGCTACCATGTAATCTATGGGCCTTCTGCCAAGTTTTCCTTTTAATCCGCTGCCATCACTTTCTATCCTGTAAGCTTCACACAGCAAAAACGTATCAAAAGTTTATTCTGGTTCTGGCATTACACACTGAGAGTCAGTTCTCAAAATCTGCAGGTTTCCCTCTGCATAAAAAACTTGTTTGCTCCCAGATTCAAACTTTTATCTACGCACTTCCTCACTCTAGGGATGTCCTTCGTTATTCTCATTTCATGGCTGAAAACCTGCTTTAGATGAGAATGAAATAGTATGACTGCGAGTCTATTGTTAGCAGTACAAAGCTGTGTGCTTTTTCTCAATTCTGCTTTGTTAGAACACAACTTCTTCAACAAACCTCCTTATACTCTTGACTACACGCTGCTATTCAACTGCTAAACATCAACACACAGATGCCTTGGAAATACTTTTCATTTTCTCCTCTTATCTGCTGAAATCTCCCATGCTCTAACATTGTTGTTATTGTTGTGAAGTGCTGTCGAGTCAGTTCTGACTCATAGCGACCCTGTACAGAGTTTCTAAGGAGCGGCTGGTGAGTCTGAACTGCTCACCTTGTGGTCCAAACTGACCATGCAGTCCAGTGATTTATCCCACAGAGCCACACCAGGGCACTTCTTATACAGAAATCTGGGCAACGTGCAACCTGCAATGGTTGACTAGAAGAGAAAAACTGCTAAGACCTCACAAAGGCCAGCACTCTGGCCATGATACTCATTGGCTCTCAATGTCTCCCTCATCCTGGAGGGACAGGGTTGGGACCAACGTTCAGTAGGATGGACTCATGTGACCAAAATGATTAGAACTGTACATTTGTTGGTGGGATTCTAGGAGAGTTAAGATAGTTTCATAGGAGAGGAAAAACATAAGATACACCCAGCCTAAGTTTATACCTATCTAATTCCCAGACAATTTTAATATTGAGCAGGGCTCAAACTCTACACTTTCTTTATTTACTTAGCAAATTTTTATTGAGTGCCTAGTACACGTCAGGCATGGTTTTAAGAGAATTGAGGATTCAAGATGAACAGGCCCCTGCTTTCCAAAATGACGAACTGCCCACTAACAGTTGTGATCTTGAAAACAGACCATTCCAACGAAATAGAACTGTGTTGGTGTGGTGTTGTGGGCAAATGCTCCAGAATGCAAAGTCATTTGAACCGCAAGGTTGGCAGTTCAAGCTCACCAGCTGCTCCTCGGAAACCCTATACAGGGTTGCTATGGGTCGGAATTGACTCGACGGCACTTAGCTACAACAACAACCAACTAAAAAAATCAGACAAATGTGTGAACAAGTAGAGGGTATATGGAGGCAAACCTGCTCAAGGTATGATGGGCTTGAGTCAAACACCTTCTTGAAACTGAAGAAACAAGTTAGTATATCAACAAGCATGGACCGCTTAGAGCCGAATCAGTTGGAGTACCTGTGATAGGTCCCAGTGTCTAAATACTACCCAATACCACCGAAATCAGAATCTCAAAGGGAAGGAAGGAGGCCCAATAATCTATGTTTTCACAGCTTCCCCATTAATTTTGAAATTCAGTCAAACTTGAGAAACACTGCTCCAAAAAGTAAAATTAAATAGATGAAGAAAAAATATTGGGTAACTAGTGAGCCAATACTAAAACAACTCACATGACTTTGCAAATTACATCTAGCATCAAAAAACACACCGATATACACAGAGGAACTTTTCTCTTTGAAGACAGCAATATGATTTGGGAAACTACAGCCAGATAAAGGACCGAAAGTGTCTGAACTCTCACTGTTTCACAGTGATCTGGATTAAAGGGATGAAGTTGTTATTTTTTCCTGCTCCAAATACTGCTAAAGAATGTAAACTCAAATCCTACTGAAGTTAAAAAGAACTGCACACTTTGAAATGTTACTCTCTTTGTGAAGTTTTAAATTTTGCTTAAAATGCATCTTTTAAAATACTTTAGCGACAAACACTGAATACACTGAAATAAGAATAAACTTTTGGAAACACATAGAAACAAAATCCTAAGTACTGTATTCTTCAATTGAGCCATGGCTGAAAAATCTACTTCAAACAGAAGACACAAATATTAGCAGCTCAACGAGGAGACACGAGGGGATGGAAACCCACTGGGCTAGAAGTGGACAGAAGGAGGAGAGCTGCCCAGTAACAGTTGTGAGAGGACACTGATGAGATATTGCCAATATTTACATACCAGTGACAATAAAAATTGAGTAAAACTATAATTATTCTGTATTTTATCATATAAAACTTAATTTCTAACTGGGTCTATTTGATAAAAAGAGCAAACACTTTGCTATATGGTTGAAATGTTTGTTTTAATAGTGCTCAGGACTCACTTGTAACTGAGAACAAAATATTTGTTTTATAGGAAACATTTGTCAAAATGCTTGTTGTAGAGAATGATTTACTTATTGTCAAAGGAAGTCGACTTTACCCACTCACTTGATAACCACACTGCCACGTCACTTATACTTAACCTGAATTTTTTGTTGTTGTTAAGTGCCGTCGAGTCAGTTCTGACTCATAGAGACCCTGTACAGGGTTTCCAAGGAGCAGTTGGTGAGTTTGAACTGCTGACCTTATGGTTCAAACCGACTTTGTGGTCAAGTGCTTACCCAACAGTGCCACACCAAAGGACTGTGCAAATTTTAAAAACACAATACATAATTCATGTCTCTCTGTTAAAAAGTGATCATGTAAAAGCAGTTCCTCTACTGTATTAATCCAATTCAGAATTCCAATTTGATATTAGATATATCTTACCTAAGTCATTGTTTTTTGTTATAGCATTAGCTGCCCTGGTCCGGGGTCCCTGCTGTGTAAACTGATATCCAAATTTAAGGATATTGGTGTTTTCCTCAAGCATCTTGGCCATTTCCAATTCGACAGCTGTCCCCAACTGCTGTCTCTGGAATAATGAGAAACAAAGACTATTAATAAATTAGATCAAAACACTTTTCAAGGAAAGACTAAGCCTTGCAGCCACATGCTGTTTCTTCTGGTCTTCAAAATTTCCTAGTTCTTCAAAGCATACAGAAAATAAACGAGTTTTTGAAGTTTAATCTATGATCATAGATAAATAAATGTTTAAAATGTGGATCACAGCAATGAACTAACGCTTCATGTCCACTATGGTGACTACTATAAAAAGACAAACAATAACAAGTGTTGGTATAGATTTGGAGAAGCCTGAACCCTCCTCATACGTTGCTGGGGGCGATGCTAAATGGTTCAACCACTGAAAAAGTTTAGCAGATTCTCAAAAAGTTAAACATAATTACCATATAATCCAGCCATTCCTCTCTCAGGTACCAACCCAAGAGAAGTGAATCGATATATATTTATACAAAAACTTATACATGAATGTTCATTATAACATTATTCATAATCAAAAAGTAGAATATATGTCCATGAAAAGATGAACAGATAAACAAAATGTGGTCTATCCCATAACAGGATATTGTTGTTTATTGATGTTCGAGCATTTCCATAGGTTCCAAGTCAGCGACCCTGTGAAGAGTTTCTGAGGAGTGACTGGTGGGTTTGAACCACAGTGTTTATCATCCTACAGCCCCATACCAGGACTACTCAGCTATAAAAAGGAATGAAGGACTCACACAACAAGGATGACTTGAAAACATGCAAAGTGAACAAAGCCAGATACAAAAGATCATATTGGAAAATTTCATTTATATAAACTGCCCAGAATAAGCAAATGCACAGAGACAGAAAGTAGATGAATGATTCCCACGTGCCGATGAGAGGAGGGTGGGGAGTAACTGCTACTGGATATGGGGTTTCTTTTTGGGGTGATGAAATTGCTCTGTAATTAGACAGTGGTGATGGTTATAAAGTGCTATGGACATACCACAAACCACTGAACTATACACTTTCAAAGGATTTTATATGAACTGCATCACAGTTTAAAAAAAAGTTTTAAACATGAATTAAGTGACATTTTGATTAGGTTTTGAGATATAAACCTCCTTTCCAAATCTGTAGTCTACAAACTTTGCTGACTTAACAAAACTGAGGAAATCGTTTACCAAATCTTTTTCCAATAATTGTTATGTTTCAGTCAAATGTCTATGTTGCTAGGTTTTAATTAATAACCACCCTAGATGGAAACATTTCTAACCTGTTACATTTCTCTTCCATTTCCAAAGCTCACCTGGGTGTGGGTGACCCAGCATGGTCACCAAGGCAGCCGGCAATGTTCTGGGCTGACAGAAGACTGCCATCCTCAGGCTAATTTGGGTACTGCAGCTTTTTGTTCTTACATCTAACCTATTTTATTCATCTATTGTGTGCTTGGGAGGCCTGGTGTGGTGCTGTAGGAGAAGCACAGACAGCTAACTACAAGGCTGGCAGTTCAAACCCACCAGCTGCTCCTTGGAAACCCTAGGGCTGCTATGAGTCAGAACTGACTAGGCGGCACTAATAGCAACAACGTGTGCTTGAGACTATAACATACAAAAAGTTTACAATGTGGATCTTGCCATCAAAGTGCTGAAAAACTGCAGGATGGACTGAGTCATCTTTAAAAGTACTTCTAGTATAAAATAGTCAGTTGTCTAAATGCTCTTAAAATAACTTACTGAATGCTGCTTGGTGTGGATCCTTATATACAATAACATTCTCGATGCCCCAAATGTCTGTTCATGCCCCTTCAGCAATCACCTCCCCAAAACGGTCCCTGAAAGCCCTCTCCCCACCTGCCTCCCTCAAAGTTACTACTGTCGATCACTAACCTGGTTGTCAATCTTGAGCTCGGACAGGGTTTCATTATCTCTTAAAGCATCGAGCAGAGCTAGAATCCCAGCTCCTGTTATAAAGTTGGACTCCACATTTAGACTCTTTAAAGATTTGTTCACTTTCAACATTTCTGCAAAAGCCTGCAAATTGAAGAAAGTACTTTGAAATTAACATTTCATAGCACCCATCTTTTTATATATGGTATACATGCCACAAATAAGTTTGTATCAATTAACATAACAGCCTTAATTCCTCATGCAGTGTTGGGGACATTCTTCTTTACATCCTTATGTTCATTCATGTCTCCTGTGTCTCTCACATTCCCTGTTTCTGTGAAGGACTCACTTGATCAGTGTCTCTTGGAACATTTTTCCTTTTTGGGTCCTGGATTTAGCTAGGTCACTAAAAAGCTAAAATGAAGGTAAATTATGAACTAATTTCTAAGGCAGGAACCAAAAAGAAAGTCTAAGATAGCAAGATCACAAAGAACTAGAACCAAATGAGCTTAAAGGGTGCAAGGAAGAAGGAGCTAATTAAATACTAAATTTCTCAAGGAATAGCATGGCTTCAATCTGCTTCTATTATATGTTTCACAGAATCTGGTATAGTGCCAGGCATTTCAACCCAGTGTTTAATAAACATCATATTAATTAACAGAAGACTGCAAGCAAGTGAGAAGAGGGGGAAGAGGCAAGAGAGAGTGGGGTGGGGAAAGAGGAATGTATGTGTAAAATAGCCCCTTAGAGGTCCAAAGCATGGTCAAATTCCATAAAATAGGGGTAAGACCAAGTTAAAAGTCAAGATAAAGATAAGACATTGAGAACAGGGATACTAGAAAGAGCTTGGGGCAGAAATCTACATACCTGTATTTATTATTGATAATTAACTATGTGAGTTAAGCAAATCCCTTGTCTCTCTCTCTATATATATTATATATATATGTTGTTGTTAAGTGCCGTCGAGTCGGTTCCAACCCATAGTGACCCTGTACAGGGTTTCCGAGGGTGTAAATCTTTATGGGAGTAGAAAGCCTCATCTTTCTCCTGCGGAGTGGCTGGTAGTTTCGAACCGCTGACCTTAAGGTTCACAGCCCGATTTGTAACCACTACGCTACCAGAGGAGCAGTTGGTGAGCTTGAACTGCCGACCTTGAAGTTCAAACCACTTTGCAGTTTGGAGCATTAACCCACAATGCCACACCAAGACTCTCTCTATATATATATACATATAGACTCCTGGTGTGTGGTGCTGTAGGATCAGCACTAGACTTTGAACCACAAGGTCAGCAGTTTAAACCCACCAGCCGCTTCTTGGAAACCCCGTACAAGTTCGCTATGAGTCGGTTCTGACTCAATGGCACCTGACAACAACAACAAATGTATGTGTGTGTGTGTATATATATATGTTGTTGTTGTTGTTAAGTGCCGTCGAGTCGGTTTCGACCCATAGCGACCCTGTGCAGGGTTTCCGAGGGTGTAAATCTTTACGGGAGTAGAAAGCCTCATCTTTCTCCCGCAGAGCAGCTGGTAGTTTTGAACCGCTGACCTTAAGGTTCGCAGCCCGATTCGTAACCACTACGCTACCAGAACTCCTTGTATGTATGTATGTATATATATATGTATATACACATACATACATATATATATTCAAATATTACTTGTGCCTGGACTACAAATTGCAAGGTTGATGGTTCAAAACCACCAATTGCTCACTGGAAACCCAAGCCAGGGCTGCTATGTGTCAAAACCAACTTGATAGCATTTAACAACAACAACATTATTTCCTAGGTGCTGTTCTATAGATTTAGAGATATACAGTCCCTATCTGATAGAAGTTAGGAGACCTGGTGTGGCGCTGTGAGTAATGCGCTGGACTGCAAGGTCACTTTGAATGTCAAGGTTGGTGGTTTAAACTCACCAGCCGCTCCTTGGGAACCCTACATAGGATTGCTTTGAGTTGGAACTGACTCGATGGCACTTAACAACCACAACATCTGATGGAATTTATAATCTAGGGGTGGGATGGAGGTACAAATATTAAACAAGTAAACAAAATATGAAATCAGTTGGTAAAAAGGGTTAAAAGGGGAGGCAAAGTAGGAAAAATGGTAAGTGTTAGGTTTATGAGCAGGGTTGTTAGTTTATGCAGCGTTACCTGGAAGTGGTATTTGAGGCAAGACTTTGATAAAATAATGGAATATCTGTGGGGAGAACATTCCAGGAAGAAAGAACAAGTGTAAAGGTCCTGTACTGGAATCATGCATAACTTGGTTTAGGAAAAGCAAGAAGGCTGTAAGGCTACAAGAGCAGAATGAAAGGAAGGAGATGGGTCTGTTCACATAGGGTTCTTAAGGCCACTGGAAGAATTCTGAGTTGTATCTGTAGTGAGATGTGAAGCTGCCAGAGGGCTCTGAGTATTGTTGCTGTTGTTGTTAAGTGTTGTCCAGTTGGCACTGACTCATAGTGATGCTGCATAGGGTTTCTGAGGAGTGGCTGGTGGGTTTGAATCACAAACCTTGTGGTTAGCAGTCCAGTGCTTATCCTACAATGCCTACAAACCCTCTTGATACTATTTATTGAGTCCCCTTTGGGATGGGTAAGAAGGATGCAGGCAACTCAATTAGGAAGTTACTGTAACAATGCAGGTGAGAAAGTACAGATCATGGTTGAGAAGTGGTAGGATTCAAGAAATACTTTAAAGGTCAGACTAGATACATGTTAAAACTATTAAAGAGGGAATTATGTTGATTCCTTTGTTTTTTTTTTTTGACTAGAGCAAATGAAAGAGTAAAGCTGCCAAACGGAAGACTGAAGATTATAAAAAGCAAGTATGGGGTATCAGACGGGAGCTTGATTTGGTACTTACATGAGGGGGCTCCAAAAAGCTTGTGGATAAATGGAATTAAGATCATGAAATTCTTCCATGAACTTTCTGAAGCCCCCTTGTATATGAGAAGTCTATTAGACAACCAAGTAAAGCTGTCGAGTGGGTAGCTGGATATGAGTATGGAGATCAAAAAGAAAAAGTACCTGTAAATAATAATCCTGAGAGTTGTCAGCATATCTAGATGAAAGAGTAATGTAACATGAGTGTAGATAGAGAAAAGATGAGGGCCTATGACTAACCCCTGGGCCATTCCAATGGTAAGAAGTTAGATAGGTGAGGAGGAACCAGCATAGAGACCTGAGAAGGAAAGTGCAGTGAAGTTGAAAGACAACCAAAGGGAGTAATGTCCTCAAAGTCAAGTTAAGAAAAGGTAATATACCACAACTGAGTGGGATTTATATACATTTTCAAAACCACAATCAATAAAATATAGCATAGCGATAGAATAAAGATCAAAATTATCACAAATAGATACAAAAAAATCATTTGAAAAAAAATCCAACACTATAGATCCACAAGTGGACTCTTCTCCAGATATTAAAAGAAGGAAGGATATCTTCATGTACTGATATGAAAAGATCTTTAAGACATTCACTTGAGTGAAAACTCAAGTTGCAGAACAGCACATATTGCATGACTCTATGCTTTAGAAAAATTCATTAGAATATAGGAAAAATTTACACAAAAGGGCAGTAAATAATGGATTATCTAGTAGTGGGCAGAATATCAATTGAAAGAAGGGAAATAAATCTTGTTCATAAAATCAGAGTTAAATAATCACTGTGGTGTGTTGTTAGAATACTGGTATTAACCAATAACAGTAGCTTACTTACAACAGCAACAGGGTCATTGCTCCGGGTGGCTGCAAGGCTGAAATGTTTCACATGGGTGTTGGTTTCCAAAGCCTTGGCAAAATCTTTTAGGGTGGGAATTGGGATATTCTTAAAAGACAATAATATGAAACAACATTAGAGTTCGTAAAAAATTCCATTCATACCATGTATTGAATATATTTGTACTTATACTATTTTTGCTTTAAAATATACTGAACAACTACATAAGCATGCAATATTTAGTCTACAAATGAAAACAAATAAGCCAGCCTTCTTTACATCTATCTGACTATTGTGGTATATGTACACAAACTGTCTGTTGCCCCAGAACACAGCGTAAGTCACCCTTTCTTTAGCACTTATAATACTAATCATTTAAAAAATAGAATAGTGAACATTCTATTTTTTAAATGATATGTTCACTATTCTATTTTTTAAATGATTAGTATTATAAGACATCAACCCTTGATGACTTGACTTTTGTATAATGAGAAAAATGTGGGTGCCCAACTTCTATGAGTATGGTCCCAGAGGCAGACAACACACAATTCTTGGTCATTTAGTTTTAACTACAAGGTATTAAAAGTGGTATCTCTAAGCTAGTGAGAAAGTATATACAGTTATGGTGGGCACTAAATTTTCCTTTTAAAACCTAAGACTTTCAATTCCCTATAGCCAGATCAATGTTACTGAAGATAAGTGATCAACCAAGGGTAAGATGAGCACTGGACCGCTAGCAGCAAGTTGGTGGTTCAAACCCACCAGTCGCTTCTTAGAAATCTGCACAAGGTTTGCTATGAATCAGAACCAACTCAGTGGCACTTAACAACAACAAAGGATATTACTAACTTTCTCTAAGGCTTTCTTCCTTCAGCTCACATGAAGAAACACCCACTAAGGAGTGTAGGCGTCTTGCTGTATGTGGCTCCCTGGTTCTTGTTATTTTAGATGTTCCTCTCCCAATTCAGATAAATTAAGATTTAAAGTGTGAAATCTGTAATGAAGCTAGTACACAAGGGCCAATATCCAGTAAACGGATTTTATTCTTATTGTCCCAGATGCAAGTGAAATGCTTATTCACCAGTGAATGGATAAATACTATATGATTTTACTTGCATGGCATTCTGGAGAAGGTAAAAGGATAGGACAAAAATATAAATTATTGGTTGTTAGGAGCCAGTGATAGGAGCAACTACAAAGGGTAGGAAAGTACTTCTAGGGATGAGGGACATTTACAACTTTGTGGTGGTGCTGCCTATATGACTACATGCATTGATTTGTCCAAGGTCACAGGACTTGACACTAAAAAGTTTAAGAGAATTAACTATATATGATTAAACCTCAAGAAATATAAAACCAGTGATCTTAGAAATGGGCAGTACTTTGACTGCCAGAAAGATTTACTGTACTGAGAGTCTGTTGTTGTTGCTAAGTGACATTGAGTTGATTCTGACTCATAGCAACCCTGTAAAGGGTTTCTAAGGAGCGGCTGGTGAGTTTGAACTGGGGACCCTGTGGTTCAAACCAATCTTGTGGGACAGTGTTTTATCCCACAGCGCCACACCAGGGTTTATATTTAACAAATATTTTAAGAAACAAGTCAGAAAATATTATACTAATTTAATTTCTAAAATATGAAGGAACCCAGGTTAGAATAAAATACCCCTGGTGACACAGTGGGTTAAACATTGGATTAGTAACCAAGAGGCTGGCTGTTTGAATCCACCACCCACTCCAGGGGAGAAAGAGGAGGCAGTCTGCTTATGTAAAGATTTCACAGCTTCGGAAACCTTGTGGGGCAGTCCTACTCTGCTATAGAGGAGCTATGAGTTGGAATCAAGTCAACAGCAGTGGGTTTCAAAAAAAATATTAAAATACTGTTACAAGCGAAAACTTAATCTTTAAGAAGATAGAATCAGACTATGTGTATATTCACACTGTGTTGGAGAATACTGAAAGTGCCATGGGCTGCCAAAAAAACCAACAGATCTGTGTTGGAAGAAGTACAACCAGAGTGTTTTTTAGATCTAAGATGGCCAGAGTTCATCTCTCATACTTTGGACATATTGTCAGGAGGGACCAGTTGCTCAAGAAGGATATCATGTTTGGTAAGGTGGAGGGTCAGAAAAAAAGAGGAAGACCCCCAGTGAGATGGATTGGCCAAGTGGCAGTAGCAATAGGCTCAAGCGTGGCAACAATAGTGAGGTGGCCCAGGATCGGGTAGTGTTTCGAACCAACCTTACAGTTCAGCGCATTAACTCACAGCGCCACACTAGGACTCCTTGGCTTACCATGTTGTTGTTGTTAAGTGCCATCGAGTCAGTTCCAACCCATAGCGACCCTGTATAGGGTTTCCAAGGAGCAGCTGGCAAGCTTCAACCACAGACCTTACAGCTCAAACAGTTTTGCAGTCCGGTGCATTAACCCACAGCGCCACACCAGGACTCCTTTGCTTATCATACCTACCTTTATATTATTCAAATTAACTTCAACAAGACGAGCATCATTTTCTTTAATTCTCTTTAAACTCTCTTCAACATTGGTGGGATTTGGTGGTTCATCAAACACTGGAAGAATTTTTTCCCCTTTTACCACATCTGTAGAAGAGAGTTAAGAGTCTCACAGGTTGATAATACTGCAGTGCATGCACAGGTTACCTTGGTAACTTATATGTACTACACACAACACACACACACACACACACACACACACTCTTTAGTACTGATTTAAAAATTCCTTTTCTACAATTCCTCAAATATTTTTTATATGTTGCCAGTTATTTAAAGTACCCAAATAAATCGATATTGTGTATAAATATCAAACACATCCCCATATTTAATTTGTTTGCAATGAGTTGGCCTTTAAAAATGTTAACAAATGAACATTTTACTGACTCTTGGTATAGTCCAAGATACTTTTTCCACGAAAATGTACAAGGGGGTTTCAAAAAGTTCATGAAAAAGTAGAATTGAAACATACTGGAATTTTTCCATGTACTTTCTGAAGCCCTCTTGTATTTTACAACACAAGCTGATGACTACATTTATTTTTAGCAGTATTCATGATAAAAGACCAATACGATAAAAACTAGCATCTCATAATTTTCTCAGATTTGACTGTTAAATTTTACAAACGCAGTAAGAGTCACAGGCTCGAAGAAATACAGACTCAACAAGAAGGTGATAGAAGGATACATGAGGGGGCTTCAAAAAGTTTGTGGAAAGAGTCTATTATCTTTTCATTTCAATTCTCCATGAACTTTTTGAAGCTACCTTGTATTACTTCTTTCTCCCATGGAGAGCGCTTTGCAAAGGGAAAAGGGTGACTCTCACCGGTAGAGTAGGGCAGAGAGGGAGAGTCAAAGGTGCATAGGGAAAAGCTGAAACAGAAATTCCGAACGTTACAGATCTCTTTCATGCCCCTCTCCTTGACCCTATAGAGGCCCCACACATGGAAAGTCAGAGGACCCAGAATCCTTGGACCTTTTAATAAGATGTAAGTGCAGTTCGATGCATGTGTAGATTTGGGCACACTTATGATAGGAAATTTTTATTCTGGGGAGCCTATCTATAGCATTAGATTCTTGAAGCAGTGGCAGACCCCAAAATACTGAAGAGTAACTGACACAGAAAGGCTGACAAGATTCTAAGTGGGCTGCTGTATAGCCTGGCTCTTCCCTTCTGCTCTTTTCCAGCTTTCAGGAGTAAAACTCTTCTTAAGGAAAGATGCATTGCTTACTCATTCAGTAAATTCCCTCTAAAAGTACTCTGTTCTCTTCCACCAGCCTCTCCATGGGGGAAAGATGAGGCCATCTGGTCCCATAAAGATTTACAGCCTTGGAAACCCTAGGGAGCAGTTTCACTCTGTCCTATAGGGTTGCATGAGTTGGAATCAATTTGATGGCAGTGAATTTGGAGGACTTTTTTGGGATGTAATAAATTCAGTCAGTGAGATGCTGAAACCATTATGTGAGAGGTTGATGGGGAATTTTAAAATGGGTGGAACTGGCTGCTAACACTTGGACCCAGTGATTAGTTTACACACACCATTCAAAATGGGATGCACAGATTTCATGCGCTTCCTCATGTGATTTGATCACATCATCACCTATGAAGCATTCTTACCAAAATACTGTATCTAAATCTGATCTAGCCTCTAGAAAATGTGTGGAAATATGGGAGACAGAGAAACATCTAAAATGAGGTTGCAATCGGCCAAATACAGAATGAGAAACTCAACATCTTCTAGAAATAAATGTCATGGAGAGAAAGAAAAAAAAAAAAGGGAGGGAATTTTTCAGAAATTGAGACTGAACACACAAACAATCAAATGCAACGTGTGACCCCCTGTTCAGACCCTGATTTGAATAAGTAAGAAATGTTGAGAGAACAGGGATACTCTGAATGGGGGCTGGGTACTAGATAATCAGAGGGATTACTGATAATTGTTGTTTGAGAAGGGCATTCTGGTTATGTGAAAAGGAAAAGCCCTCATTTGTGAGAGACATATACAGAAATATTAAGGGTGAAATAATGCAGCAATGACCAGGATTTGCTTTAAACTACTCTGGAAGTGGGAGGGGGAGGGGGAGGAATAGGGTCAGAGGTTGAAGATGGATGAAACAAGGTTGGCAAAACATTAAATCAGCTGAAGCTGGGTGATGAATATATTCCTCTTATGTTTGAACATTCCTGTAATAAACCATCAGAACTAGGGGAAGTGACGAAATGATCGAACATTGATACAATGGAATGTTATGCAGGTGCCTGAATGAGTTAGACCTACATGTATTAACTAGGAAACATGATAAAATTACTAAGTGATATTCTGTATATGTGAAATTCCTTACCACACATAGACCATGTGACAGAGTCCAGTTAATCATTCTAAAATCTAAATTAAAGATAGCAACAATAACCGTCTATAGAATTGCTGTAAGGATTAGATGAGGAAAACTCACATTCAAGAGCTGTTGTGCACAAAACCTGGCCCATAATAAGCATTAAAAAAAAATAGCCAAAAAAAAAAAAAAAATCTCATTTTTGTAAAAAACAAAAGACTACCTATATAGGTATAACATGTGAACATTTGTAAGGTTACATGCAGTACAATGTCTAAAAGGATATATGTGCGTTAGGGCCAGGAGCAGAGGTGGGAAATAGACGCAGGGCTGTGAACAGAGATACTTTAACGGTCATATCTTCTACATTTCTCTACCACTTAAATGCGTTACACAAGCATGCATTACTTTGGTAATTACAAAACACCTCACAAGTTAATTTTTAACAAAGTTTAATACTTTATGTTGTGGTTAAGTGCCTTCAAGTCAGTTCTGACTCACAGTAACCCTGTATAGGGTTTCCAAGATTTTTAAATCTTTGCAGGAGCATAAAGTCTCATCTTTCTTCCATGGATCTGCTGGTGCGCTTGAACTGCGGACCTCACATAAGACTAAAAAGTTTAGTCTGAATAGACTTGTGATTTCTCTGACTTGATTCTATCAATGTAATTTCTTTGTCAGCACCGTTTAAATTTCTTGAAAATTAGTAACACTGATACTATGATTATTATGGCTTGAATTGTGTCCTCCCCTAAAATAGGTACAATTCCTAACTGTTGGGCTGCTAACAATAGGGCCAGTGGTTCAAACCCACCAGCCACTGCACAGGAAAAAGATGAGGCTATTGGCTCCCATAAAGACTGACAGTCTCAGGAACCCTACAGAGTAGTTTCACTCTGCTCGACAGGATTGCTATAAAATGGTACCAACTCAGTGGCAGTGGATTTTTTTAACCTGTGATAATGGACAGGTTAACACTGGATGTTTCTCATCTCTTTTGAGATATAAAAGAGATTAAACAAGTAAATGGTAAACAGAGATGGAAAAAAAAAAAGCCAGGCAACAGGAATAGAAGCTCCAAAATTACAAGAACCTTCCTTCAGAACAGAATACAAGAGAAAACGTCCCCAAAAGCGGGCATTCTAAGCTTGAACTTGTAGCCTCCTTATTGTGGGAAAATGAGTTTGTCTATTAAATACACTCATTTGTAAAGATACTTCTCTTACAGCAACCCTAGATAACTAAGATGTCCACAAGACTCAAGTTGGACTAGTTTTTACACTCTTTACCATTGTAGTATGTAGTAAAGTGAAAGCAGCTCCTGTTACATTTGCTGATACATTACACATAAAATACTTGATATTCTATTTTTAATGGCTTTCTATGTTAATACCAGGAGTCTTGTAGTGCAGCGGGTTAGCGTTGGGCTGCTAGTCAAAAGATCAGTGGTTCGAACTGACCATGCCCTCCGCAGGAGAAAGATAAAGCAGCCTGCTCCCATAAAGATGTACAGCCTCAGAAACCCGATGGAGCAGGTCTACCCTGTCCGAGAGGGTCTCTGAGGAGGAATCAACTCCATGGCAGTGGATTTGTTTCATTTGGTTGATGTTAATACTATCAAGCTGCAATCTTAGGCTTCAAGTACATACACATACTATTTGGCATATAAACATTCAAGTTGACACATGGAGAAAACATGATATAGTTAATAAAGAAGAGGGATTCACAAAGCATTTTAAATACTCACTTGAAAAATGATCTTGGTCGACACCATTACTACTTCCCACTACATTACAGAACTGTGTGTTTGTTATCAAATTGTGCATCCCAAGAATAGCTATAAATATAGGAAAAGAAAACTTTTTTATTCCCATAAGCTTTAAATATAATTAGACAATCAAAATTTTATATTAATGGTTTTAACATTCTCTGGACTTTTCCTATTAAATTAAATACAGACTTTGTTGCAAAATATGGAGACAAAGTGATTAAAATCACTTGCAATCTCTTGTTCATCAATGTACTTAATACTTCTTCCCACATTTCTGAACTCAGATACATAGCTGGAGTCAGTCTAATCCTAAACTGAAATTAAATTTAGCTCCACCTGGTGGCTAAGAGAGAAATTTGAAATGATATATTTCTGTTGTTCACCTTTCACTCATGGAACATAATGAAGGCTTTAAAATTAACCTGCCATTCTCCTGGCCATTATTTTACATTCATAGTCCAGTTATGAGCAGAATACTAGAAGTATAGTTAAGTTCTAATTTTTCCCCCCTCGCCCCCTCCAGCACCTTCCCAACCCCCAACAAAGACCTCCCCCTGCCCCCTTTCAAAGTTCTAATTTTTAAGATGATATAACATGCCTCAAAAATGACACTTTGGAGGGAAAATACTAGTATATGTATCTTTTTGTTTTTGATGACCTGTGTACAAATAAGGCCGAAGCTATAGTATGTCCTGGTCCATTCCACTCCGATCGTGATGTATTTACAGATCCATCAGTCCCCAAAGAATAAGACACCTGCTCTGGCTATGATGCATGCCTTGACTTGTCACTTTCCAGAGTTCTTCTCAAGAACCATCAATGCTACTTTGAAACATGCTGGTTTTGAGGTGATCTGATACTAATGTCTCCCTATGCTTCATATTTTTCTAACTAGGATATAAGCAGAAAGGGGTTAAGAAATCGGTAACGAAGAAAATAACAGGGAATTTTGGAGTGTTTCATATACATTTCAGAAATGTTGAAAGGTGGCTGAGTGTGGCTCAGGAATGACTTGGCCATCTCTGGACCTGCTGGTAAAACAGGGCAGTGGTTGACCCTGACAACTCTGTTCCAGCACTCAGACGGCACAGCTTCTAGCTGAATACTAGCGGCTGAGCGATTCTGACAATTTTACAATGTGAAGTGGAATGTCAAATAATATACTTCATTAATAGAAAAATTTCACTGCAAAAAAATGTAAAGAAATTGAGTCTTGTATGTCAGATTTATAGTGCAAGAAACAAAGCCAAATAAGTGGTTACTGATTCAATAGCACTTTGTCAGCAAAGGACACATTTGTGTAACGCACAAACGTGCACACTCACTCATGAATCAATTTGATTTAGGAGATACCTGCAAGATCACACAATTCTGTATCAGAAGCACTTGTCAAAGCTTCTTCTAATTCTGGATCAAGAGATATTTTTTCTTCTGTAAAAGTCTGGGCAGGTTTCTGTTTAGGGATAAATATTTTCCCTGTTTTAAAAAAAAAAAAAGCAATTTGTTAATTTCACCAGGAAATCATTACTGTCATTATAACTCATTAACATTTTATCCTTCTAAAATCAATTATTAAAAGCATGTGTAACTGACTGAACGAAAATGTCAAAATTAACATCTAAAATGTTGTTGTTCCATCTTTAATATGCATTTAAATTCCAGTGCAACTCTTTTGGTTGAACAGTGGGAAAGAGAAAAACAAAACAAAATAGCCAAGTGAGAAATCCTCCTATCTGTGGAAAGAAAAGTAAACTCTTTTTAGAGTAAATATGAGTTACTCTATAAATACTGAAAAATACATGAATGAACAAATAAAGATAAAAAATTTACAAAACTTTAAAGATTTATAAAACTCTAAAGAGTCCAACTTATATTTAAGCAACAAACTTAAGCAACTGTCACTTGGGTGAAGGCAGAAGCAATGAGTGTCTAGAAATTCTAATTCTAATTGCTAAGAAACTTCTATTATGTCCTGAGTGGTATCCTGAAACCTTTGATTACTGTTCCTCTAAGCCTCAATGGAAGCTAATATATGTTGCCTTTTAAGAACTAGTCACCCTAGAAACCTAGTCTTTATTATGTGAGAACTCAGTGTGCTTACTAGCATAAACTCAGTACAGATTGAGAGTAGTAAACAACAGCACAAGCTGACCAAATAATATGAACACATGAGGGGCCTTCAAAGAGTCCACAGAAAAACAGGATGACAAGATAAGGGAAGTTCTCCAGGAACTTTCTGAAGCCCCCTTGTACACGTGGTTGGGGTTAAGCTATCAAGATAGTTTCTTGCTTCTCTCTAAGACAAGTGAAAATTAAAATGTAAAAACCTGGGGTTCAAAGAAAGAAGTGCCAATAATTTTTTTTTCCATCAAGAAACTATCAGGGATTAGGCTCATGGCTTCATGAGCATCCCAGTTAGTTGACCTAATAGAGTGTTTCGTGCTTCGGTTCTATCTTCTAGTTCGTTCACAGTGCCCGGGGTCTTAAAAGTTTGCCAGAAGCCATCCAAGACACAAAAATTAGTCTCTATTAGTCTTGAGCAACCAAAGAAGGGTGAGTCAGGGCTCTGAGGAAGAAATGGAATGTGTGGCTAATTGCCTCCATGAACAACTACCTCCTTTGCCAAGAAACAAAAACTGGGTGGCTCCTGGCTACCATTTCTAAACGTTTGTAGAAGAATCCTAATCAATTGAGACTGATTAAACACACAAAACAGAATCTGAAATTCTTATGGAATCCAGGCTTTCTGGAATCCTGGAGGCTGGATGGGCCCCTAAAACTACTTTCCAGACATAACCTTAAAGCTTTAAACCAAAGACATCCCCTGAAATCTTCTTAAAACCAAATAGTATAACTTAAGGAGTACAGAAAATGTATCCTCAGCATTGTGTTCTTTTAAGAATTATCTATATGGGATCAAATTGACAACAACTCATTGGTGTATGTTATGCTGTATATATTCTCAACAACAATAAAACAGACTATTAGAAAAAAGGAACTACCAGCAATACAGAGGATGTGTGGCCTTATAAACATGTTCTATCAGAAGAAATGTCTGTACGGTTATAAATACACAGTGCATTGAGTGTTCTGTACCTTCTTGTTCAAGGTAAATATAAATCAGCATAATCATAAGGAATCCTTCTACAATACAGACTGCTCCTACTTCTCTGGCCGCGGCTGGTCTGGTATTTTCTGTTAAGTTCATCTACAAGAACTTAGTTTCTGGTATCATATTGCTCATTTTGGGTATTTAGTTACCTTAAAAAAAAAAAAAAAGGATCTCCCAGGTCTCTGGTGAATTTCTCCATCATGGGCTTTAAATGTTTCCCACCAGATTCTGTGCCATTTTTTCTTAAAAACTTTTTGATGCACTCCTTGTACTTTTACTTTCATTTATTTAATTTTTGTTGTGAAGTGACTGAAGGTTTACAGAGCAGATCATCAGTTTGACAGTCCACACATCATCTGGATTGCAGTCCCCTCCATGTAATATCACTTATCTTCCCCTTCCTCCTCCTTTCTCCACCCTTCTGAATTCTGTCCTCAGGTAAATGCTGCCCTTTTGATCCCGAAAAGCTTGACTATTCTATGGTGGGTGTATCTCACTAGTGTTGTTGCCCCTATACACCTATCTACTTTGTTGTTGTTGCTGTTAAGTTCCACTGAGTCGGTTCTGATCCATAGCGACCCTGTATAAGATTTCCAAGGAGCAGCTGATGAGCCTGAACTGCCAACTTTGCAGATCAAAGTGACTTTGCAGTCCAGCGCATTAGCCTATCTGGTAGTTATTTGAAAATTGAGTCACAGGAGTGAATTATGTTCCAGACATGAAGGGTGACCAAGAGTCATAGCCTCTGGGTTCTACCAGTCTTCATCTGACTGTAGAAGAAAATTCAAAATCACTTTCATGTGTTTTAAGATTTTGATTGTGTACTGTGCATTTTGTAGAACAGTCTGGAAGAGACTGAAGGAAATGATGCAAGAAAGGAGCACACCCTTCCGGTCAAGGTTGAGCCAACATGTCTTACAGCTGAACTGGGCCTGATCTTTGTTGCAGCTTTAATTTCAGTTCACCATTGCTTCAAACATTTTTTATTTTTATTTTTTTAGAAAACAAGATCAGATCAAGACTTTCCCTTCAGCGAAGCCTGGGAGTGGAAGCCTGGGGACCAGGTTCTGGAAAGCAGCGGAGCGGCCTGCTTTTCTCACTGTGAACTGTGAGATTTCTTCCTTGTTTACAATCTTCGCTGCCAGATTTTTGAGTAACTGGAGACCATTCTTTGTCAGTCCTACCCTTTGCTTTCTGTGCCCCGTAAAATCTCTTTCCTCCCTGTTGCCCTACCCTTGGCTGTCCAGCACTATACTCAGGGAACTGCCTGGAAGGAATTTCTCTTTGCTTTACTACCCCTCCCCTCCCTCAGTTGCCCCCAACTGAAATCCCTTGCCTCAGGAGTTTTCTCTCAGCTCTACTTTACTGCAGGGTTTTGGGGTACCGCCCGTAGTGTCCAATGACGATCTAAAGGAAGAAGTTAGGGGTACTGCAGTCCCACTCTGTCTGTAGCTCTGTACCATACAATACAATAGCCACTAGTCACATGTGATTGTTTTTTTTTTTGTTTCATAACATTAGCTGAAATTCCCTCAAAGTAATAGCATTCTTCCTGCTTCCTCCCTAATTCTCTGTTTCCATTTGTCCTTCTTTCTTGCTCCTTCTTAGCTTTGGGTCTTAACCCTTTGGGTCACATATGGTTAATTATTTTGATGAGTATATTCCTCACCAGAGTTCCTGTTCACTTAATAGACCTGCCTGTTGTTTGGCTCCAAGGGATCCCTGAGGGTGAGTTCAGTTCTAGGTTAGAAGGGTAACTAAGGGCTACCATCTCAGGGGTTTCATCAGGCTGTATTTCGGGGGTCAGATAAGTAAACCAACATAACAATTTACACAGTGTTCTACACCCTACTGTGGTGAGCAGCAACTGGGATCTTAAAAGTTAGTGAACGTCTATCAACTATGGAACTATGATCTCTCCCCATCCAGAAGAGTGAAAAGAATAAAAAACTCAAGGAAACAATTGGTCCAAAGGACTAATGGACCATGCAAACCACAGCCTCTACTACCCTGAGACCAGGAGAACTAGATGGTGCCTAGCTACCACTACCAACCACTCTGATCAAGACCCACAGAAAGTCCTGGACAGAGAAGGATAAAAATGTAGAAGAAAATTCAAAATCATAAAAAAGACCAGATGTAGTGACTATTTACATTTAAATCAAAGAAGTTGAAGTGCTAGTTTCTCAGTACACATGCCACATTTCAAATAGTGGTACCTGGCTAGGGACTATTGAACTAGTAAGTACATAGGAGGGGGCGTCAAAAAAACTTCAGTAACTTTTAATTCCATTTTTCTATGAACTTTTGGAAGTCCCCTCGTATACAAAATCTTTCCATCACTGCAGAAAGTTTTGGTGGATGGTACTTTGTCTAGGACTTCTCTGAATTCTAAACTAACATGCCAGCCCATGCGTAGTCATTAACATTTTTATGAAAGTTCAGCTGGTTTCTCCTATTCCCCTCTGTAGCAGTTTCTTCTTTTCCCCTCCATTTCAGTCGAGGAGGAGGGCTGTCATTTTCTGGAATCATTGAAATTAGTCTCCTCAAGCTCTCAGATACAAACCATAATTATACAGCTCATTATGCTTGTTTCAGTTGCTATGGTGAGAATAACAATCTTTTGCAACTGTCTACATTTGAATCAGAAGACCTTCTGGTCAGGTATTTTCTTATAAAACGTGGCACTTATTATTTATTTATATATTCACATATATATTTGTATTCATAAGATGTTGGTTATGTGCCATGGAGGTGGTTCCAACTCATAGCTATCCTATACAGGGTTTCCGAGGCTGTAAATCTTTATGGGAGCAGAAAGTCTCATCTTTCACCCATGGAACAGCTGGTAGTTTCGAACTGCTGACCTGATGGTTCGCAGCCCGATTCATAACCACTATGCTACCAGTGCTCCTTATTGTGCTCATGAGAACTCTGTACCTGGACCAAGAGGCAGTTGTTCAAACAGAACATGGGAATGCTCAATGGTTTAAAATTAAGAAAGGTGTGCGACAAGGTTGTATTCTTTCACCATACTTATTCAACCTGTATGCTGAGTAAATAATCTGAGAAGCTGGGTTCTATGAAGAAAAACGTGGCATCAGGATTGGAGGAAGACTCACTAATAACTGAGATATGCAGATGATACAACCTTGCTTGCTGAAAGTGAAGAGGACTTAAAACATTTACTGATGAAGATCAAAGAGCACAGCCTTTGGTATGAATTACATCTCAGTGTAAAGAAAACAAAAATCCTCACCACTGGACCAATAAACAACATTCTTATCAATGGAGAAAGGATTGAAGTTGTCAAGGACTTCATTCTTCTTGGATCAACTATCAACACTCACGGAAGCAGCAGTCA